GTATCTTGTTACCGCAGCGTTCACGGATTAACACGCTTTTCGACGACAATATGTTGACAGAAGCAATTCAACATTAACATTTATAATTATCCATTAACATTTATATACATAAATAAAAGGACATCGGTAAACAGCAGAAAGATTGTTCACTAAGAAACATCATTGAAAAATGTACATAGGTACTTTAAAATATTATTTAAGAAATACTTTATTTTTTCCTTTCTTTTTCTCTTTACAAAATTTTTCAATTTAGGATTAAAAAATATAAGTAATTTATGTTGAAATATAGTAGTTAAAATTTTTTGTTTAATAATAAATAAAATAATATATATACATTAAGAAAAAAGGTCTAAATTTTAATAAATATTTATTTGATTAATGCTAAACATTTACTTACAATAAAAAATATTTACTCAATAAAAAAAATAATAATTGAATCAAATTAATGATTCTTGTAATTTCTTGTACCAAATAAATATATTTTTATATTTAGTAAATATTTAATTGATGCTCTATTCGAACAAATAATTTATTAAAATTTAGTATATTTTGTCAGTGTCCATGTTTATATATAAAATGAAAAAGTGGTTATGAAAATATTAAGTGTTGTTGCTATAAGATATATATCTCCAAATATACGAGTGAAAGGGGAGGGAGAAGACATTAAAAATCTCTCTTCAACGTACGAGGACTACCGAATGCAGACCCCAGCGACCGGGTCACCGATTGCAGCTGCCTCGCGAATTTTGCGTAATCGAGTATAATGCTGCTGACGCAACGGAGGCACAACTGTCTACTAAAAAAAACGTACGTGCATAAGTACGTGCGCCGAAATTGATTGTCCAACTGTACAATCGTGTCTACTAGCGAGCGAACGGCAAGGACACGTGAAAGTATAATCGTTAATCTTTGCTACGGGATCAAACCGGACAGCGCAAAAGAGCGGGATGAAAAAAGAGAAAACAAAAAAGAAAGGACCAAAAGGAGGATCAGGCGAATCGGATTGAACGAGGAGCGAGGAGGAAAGCGAAGGAGGCAGGAGGTGGAACAGCGGACCAGATATACAGGGTCGTATACGCGCGAAGAAGTGGGTCGAGAGTTCACAGGCCGGATAATTAAATTCCTCAGCGAAGAAAGCGTTTTCCCTCTCGTTTAGCCATCACCCTACCCCCGCCTTTCCACCCCCCCGGGGCGAGGAATGGGAGCCGGACGTATTGGCCGACACGCTACGTTGTTAGACCAGTCCGTAATGGACTTCCTCCTCCATTAGACGCCTACAAATCTCCCACCGTCGTGAATATTCAACAGACCGAGTTCCCTTTTAATTACGTATTGGACGTCGATTAGTTTAAACCTCGATCACGAGATTGAGACCTCTAGGGCGAATTTCACTACTGTCGTACTTCGCGAGTCGGTCGATAAGTCTGGATTGCGGAAGATAGACGCGTCAATTAAGCTGACTGAAGCAATCCCGGCTGAAGCTGTTCTCCACGCGTTAATTTCAAAATGCAATTTGTCATAGGTCGGCATACGATCAAAAGGCATCTGGCGTTACATGAAATCATTATCGTTTAAAATCGCTGGGAGGATATTGGCGCAGCGTTCCTTTCCTTTGACCGGGCAAGTGCAGTTAATGCACCGGGAATACTTTAATTTTATGCTACAACGCGCAGCCGCACGTTGATGCATGCAAGACGAAGAGGATCGATGATTACGTCTATCCGAACGCACGGAAGCTTCATCGCGCGGATGATACAATGATGGCGAACCGCGTACTTTTCTTCCTGATGTCTGAGACTCTCTTTCTGCGACCAAGAACCGACGCGACGGTTCTACCGGATGATTGTGCAGACCGTCGTTCGGTCTCATCCTTACAAAATAGTCTTACAAATAGTAAATTACTTCTTCCCGTCAGCATGTCATAACTTTTCTCTAATGTATCATCACCAACGTGAAATATACCTATCGTGAAATATCACTTGTGTGCTTGTCTTAATTAATTTATATTTTTTTATTACTGTACTAATTGCTTATAAATTGAAAACTAGCATATATTATGAGGGACATAAATAAAATATTATGAGATACAAAGTAATCTTAGTGTCAGAGAACATCTAATTTTCATATCATATCCGTACATGCCAAAATTGATCAATTGGAAACATTTCTTGATAAGCAAACTAGTCTAGTCATTCACTAACTACTCGACACGGACTAATTATCCTTGCCTAAAACATTCACTGGAATATATTAAAGTTCTTCGATGCGATGTCAATAAAATACGTTGACTGGTAATGTCAGTTAAAATCATCATTTACAAAAAAGAGCAGATAAGAGTCGAAGGGCAAAATTCTGTTTCTGTTTTATTTTAAATGAGATACAATAAAAAAAACATGAATTTTTATAATAAAACTTACGCAACGCTCCACGAAGCCTCTACTCGAAGAAATGCTAAAAACTGAGCGAGAGTCAATATCCAAGAGGGTGATATCCATCTTTTCTTGCTCTGGCAGATGGCGATCATTAGATGAATCGATAGTGACGTGATTGTTGTCGCGTGACATCAAGCACTTTGAAATTGCTACTAACTTTCTTCCAAGTGACCTATCCAATAGTTCCTTGGTTATTGTTGATCGCCTAAATAATTGTTTCTTAAACGAAACTCAATAGATTAATGCCTGGTTTATGCTTCGGTCTTAAGGTCTTAATCCTAAAATTCAGCCAATAGAGTTCAAATTTCGGTTAGAGCTGTTAGCTTTAGGATCTTGGGATTAAGACCTGAAGCATAAACCAGGCATAAAAATTGCACAAATTATTCATATATATATATATATATAAACATTTCAGTTATTTATAATTTAAATGTGTGTGTGGTTATGTATACTTAATCAGTATATTTTCGTATAATTTATATATGCTCCTCATGTTTCCAATTGCGATTACATAATATTTTATATTGTTAACTTAAAAAAAAATAAATATAAATTCATAATTTATTTTTAGTTCTTTAATAACTAATGATAATTTATACATTTTTTGCTACCGTAATTTATATATTTATTAGCAAAATATTCATCCACTAAATTGATTTAGTGAATATACTGATATCATTGAAGCTAAATAATATTATGTTTATATTTAATCTGTTAATCATATAAATATGTGATAAAAAATTTATAGATAAAAGATTTTTCACTAATTTAAATAAAATAAATATATACAAATAACATTAATAAATAAAATAACAATAAATTGTTTATATTTTTCACTATTTATTTACAAAAATAAGTCAACATGCAAAAGAAGAAATATTTTGCGGAGTAAAACAATTTACGAAAAAATATCCAATAAGGAAGTGGTTCGGTGCACATCCGGTGCTACAAACTGCGCGCAAACAAAAGGAAACCTGTTACGTAATGTTCCTTTAAGTTTAGCTCCTGTTACATAACTCTCATATAGCTTTGTCGAATAGATAATGTTTATGAACTGGGAGCTTATTATAGTATATGCGGTCATAAAGTCACAACAACTATAATTAACGCATAAATACCTTTATCAATGTTTAGAACTCTCTTTTGTATATTACCATGACAAAGTATATATTTGGATTTGTAATTATATGTGAAGAATTTATTCATAATTAGAGAGACATTTAAATGAAAGAATTTATCTTGCACGATGTAACGCATGAATTTTGAATTATTTCACGCCCGTTAATTAATTCTTTTATGAATCGCGAAAAATATTTGGCATGCGCTGGTTGTATATCGTTACGAATACCGTAAATGAATACAGCTGTATTAGTAGTGAAGCTAATGAATAACATGGCGACAAGCTAAGAACTCAATTGCGTCATTGAATATCGACCCTTTCTGGCTTTCGAATATGTGATGACATCAATTTCGTTGTATCATCTAACGAAAAAAGAACTGTTCACTGGCAATGATGATCCGTCAAGGTAAAATCTTAAATAGAATGTCTTTCATAACAAACATTTTATATATTCCTGTCGCGCAAAATTAATTTAACAGAATGGCACACGTACAGCATTTTATTATAATGATATGTTGTAACATAATGTTGTAACATAAGCTGAGCAATGTTTATTTAATCTTACTTAATATTAAATTTTATATTTTATTTATAAGAAAAATTAAAAGCTAAATATGTAATTTTTTTCATAATAGATAGACCTATAATGTGAATATATCACTTTTGCGATAAAAATTTCAAAAATTGTTACATTAAGCTTATAATCCTTGAGAAGATAAAACCTAATAAATTAAAAATATTTTTCAAATCCAGACAACCATTAATGTATATATTTACAGAATATAAAAAAACCATTCTCAGAAAGAACATTAATTCCTCTAGCATGATTTACAAATGTAAGTTATATTTGTATATTACTGTTCACTCTAATCGCCCACATATTAGATCCGTTTTTTATTCTTGTACTAGAACTTTCTTTCTCACTTTCGCTAAATTTATCAAATATATACCTATCTCACTTAAGTTTCAAAAGTGTATACTAGTTCAGCCACAGAAAACAGATTTATTTTTAGTCACGATCAGCAAAGAGGAATATAGAAAATATAAGAGATACACGCAAACCAATCTCTGGCAGGTAGACGTAATCTTTTACGGGACTACAAGACTTCTCCGTAACGACAAAGCACTCGACTAGAGGAGTCTAGGTCTAGGACGCAAGTAGGGACTATCAAGAGACTAAGAGTTTCGCAAGAGGAGACTGTCCGAAATCTCGAGTACATTAGCGATTCTTCGGCGAAGAGGACAGGTGGATGTTCGGGATCTACAGAGAGTAGAAGAGAGACATACGCGGTCGAGAGGAGAGGGAAGAATCGTCTCACAACTGAATTACTCTCACTTGAGAGGCCCCCGTCTCTTCTTCGTGGGGGCACGTATATCCCCCTGCTTCTCCTGGGGGGTATAAATGACTCCGGTCTACCTTCCACAAAGTCACAGAACTGAGGCGGCATCGCAGAAGCCGACATGAATCCTCTGATCGCGGTAAGCACACTTTTTTTCTCATACTTACGTTAACGAAGCTATACTTGTGCGAGAAATGGAGAGAGCAGAGGGCTGAAAAAGGAAAATGAAAGCGATTAAGGAAATATGGTGTATGAGTGTACGTATGCGTGCGGATGGGAGAAATCGTGAAAGGAAGAGTGTAAAGAACGCATCAAGTGATTGAGATCATGATCGGTAGAAAAAGCGAGTGCTCTTTTTTTAATTTTTGCATCCCTATTGTTGCTTTATTATCACTTCTGTGCTTGTACGTGAATTTTCGCATTAATTCGTTGATAGACGTTTGATACGATAGTACTTTCATTTTCAATCGTATATCTCTTTAATTTCTTACTTGAAGTAGCGACGATGACACGGAATTAAAAAGTCACGATTAACGAAAGCTATAAAAAATATCATAGTTTTTAATTATATTCGTCAAATTTGTTAGAATAATTACCAGTCATTGATTTTTCACAATTATTCCAGTTACACTGCTCGACAAATTTATAATAGTTCATAAAATTCACAATTAAGACTAAATAAATAAAAAATCTCTAAAAACTCAAAATTAAATTAAAAAATCTCTAATCCATAAGTTTTTGTCGAAATAGTATACATTCGACTCTTAAATATACTTTTATATTTTCCACAACTTATTCTTTTTTAATTATGAAGTATGTGACAATAAAATTAAAAATTGATGTTTGCTTTTATAAATAAACTTAAATCAGAAAACTTGAAAAATTTCCAAAAATAAGTTCTGCATAAATAAAATATATACACTATTTTTAAAAATATTAAATGTGACTTATAGAAAGTTTTTTTTTTAAATAAGCATTTCCTTTAAAAATTTGAATTTTTTAATATTTAATGTTTAACTGAATATTTTGAAAAATGTGATACGAGTTACACTCTGTATCATTTTGAATAATCAGCAAATATGTATTAGCATGTGCGTGTATGTGTATATAATTTAAGCATGTATATAATATAATTCGATTGTATTATAGTTATAATTAGACATATATAGATCTCATCAAAGGGTTAAAATAAGTCCATTGTCCTACTAAAGTAATTCCTTTCTGTGTTACAGTATATGATTGTCGGTCTGGCAGGGTTCGCCCTGGCGGAGCCGCCTGTGTCCTCCGGTTACAGTTACAGCAGACCTTCCGGTGGCGGCGGTGGTTTCTCCTTCGGTGGCGGTGGCTCCTTCGGTGGTTCCTTCGGCGGCGGCGGCGGTGGTTACACCCAAGTGTCCACCGGCTACCAGACTAGCGAAGGCGCTTCCGTGGACGGCGCTCTGCTCGAGCAGATCCGTCAGATTCTTCTGAAGGAGGAACTACAGTCCCAACAGACCGGCGGATTCGGCGGTGGCGGTGGCGGAGGTGGATACGCTCCCAGTTCCAGCTATGGAGCTCCACCGTCGTCGCAATACGGTGCCCCATCAACGCAATACGGCGTGCCCGGCTATCAGACTCGCGTTGTAGGCATCGATCTTGAAGGCATCAGGCAGGCTATTCAGGTGGCCCAATTCAATCAAGTCAGCCAAGGCCCCGGAGGCTACCCCAGCGGACCCAGCTCCAGCTACGGAGCGCCCAGCTCCAGTTACGGAGCGCCTAGCAGGCCGTCCAGTAGCTATGGTGCGCCGTTCTAAGGAATTTCACTTTGGTTTGGATGATACTGATGATGAGAGAGAGAGAGAATGAGCGAGAGAAAGAGAGAGAGAATGTGTGAGAGAGAGAGAGAGAGAGAGAAAGAGTGGAGGATAATGGCACCGGCCGATGACAACGACTACTTTCCGAGAGTTTCGATGCAGCCGAATCTCGCCAACGCAAGAAAGACTCACGAAGAAGATCTGGCATGTTAGGAAAAGAAGATCACAACCGTATAATCAAACCAGTTTCTCCCAAAGTGACACATTCCTTGGGCTTGCAACTCGGAAGGTCGTCGATGCTAGGAAGTCAAATCGTCGTAAGGAATCGCTTCACGTAGATCAACATTCGAAGATTGTTCAAAAGGAGTTGGATCATCGTGTTATCCGCGTTACTTGGCTTACCTCGCAATTTCAGAACGTGTCCACTGACTAATCAATGTCAATGAATTGGGCCAGTCAGAACGAAGACACACGCGAGAAGCAGAAACGGGAACCAATTGGATGACGCCTGGTTCGTTGGGGAATAAAAATAGTCGTCGCTTCAACGGATCAGGGTCTTCCGGAATCCATCAAAAAGGTAGCGCCGAGTACAACGTGGACCAATATCCTACCCTCGGGCCCCTTGACTTGTCGAGAATCCAAATAGTCGTCGCTTTGACAAGTTCGGTGGGTCCGCGGGAGTGAACGTATAGCCCAGTTTTCTTCCTTTTCCGACCCTGTTTTTCCTCCCATTTTCGGAAGGGACAGGGTCGCTCGAGATGATCTTGGGCAGTCGGCGCGGTGCCGAAGTCTATCGTACCAAAATCGCATCGTCGTGTCCGCGAATCGAAAAATCGAGGAACAGTGATAAGTCAAAGGGGCGGACAAGCGTAGTCGTTGACGCAAATACACTTCACACTTCATCCCCAACGATTGCACTCGCTTTCGTCGGGACACTCATATTACAATAGAAAGGATGGAGCGGGAGGACTAGGAGGAGGAGGCCGACAAGCCGAAGACGTGATCAGCGCGGTATCAATGCGCCTTGTAAATAAAAATACGTCGCTGTACCGCGGCGTCCGCTGTTGTAACGCGGACCAGCTCTTCCGTCGAAGAAATCTTTAATCCGAGACGTCTGGAGCCAGTTTCTGGTTCATGAGAAAAGATGATGACTCTCGAACCGTTTCTTTTTTAATCCTGAAGAAGTTATTGGAAGAATCGGATACTCGGAGTCATCACGCGCGAGTAAAGTCGATTTCGCATAGAAATATCGACCTCTACCTGTCCGCAAGAGGAGAAGATTCATCTGGCACAAAAGGAGCGATCCGGATTACAAAGCGGACGCCCGCCGTGTCCGAGCAACACGTACACCCGACGCCACAAATACACACTATTTTTTTTATACATAACGCTCTACTCTTTAACCACGCATCTTTTTGTACTTGTATAAAGGCTTTTTTGTAGAAAAAAGAATAAAAAAAGAACGTCGCCACCGTTGAAACCCCGTGTGCTTCTCCTCTTCATTGTGCAGCGGAACGCTTCGCTCCCGGCATGTTCGCTGCCCTCTTCCTTGTTGTCCCTAATCTCATCTTTCCTCTGTCAATCGCCGCCGACGATAGCGATTACATATCGCGATTCTATCATGATTCTATGTTCCCCCAATCTATGACCTAACGACCGCCGTCCGAAGGCACGCTCGTCCTCCGGGTCGACTCGCATGGTTTTTTTCCGTGTCGCTGTATCTACTGAAGACATCCAATCGTTTCTCTTTCTCTTCGTCGACATTTCGAGAGATCGGCGCCTTTCTCCTTTCACTCGCGAACCCGCGAGCCAGCAGGTATCGCATTAGCCTCGCCTGAGGAAAGGAGAGGAGGAGGCTTCTCCATCTGGACATGTAAAGTCTCACGAAGAAGAACCGCATCGCAAAAGAGCATCGCACGTTACGAAAGAGAAAAAGAGGGAGGGGAAGAGAAAAAACAGCGAGAGAAGGATCTGCAGACATTGGTAAAGATTCGAAAGTGGCTTTGCGTTCGCATAGAGACGATGTGGATCTCTTCAGATTACCTGGGCAAAGGATATCCGGAAGGATAAGTGGGAAGCGAAGATATCTCGCTTTTCTCCTTTTCTCTCGTATGTCGAGAATGTATATTTCTCTCGTTGTGTTTCCTGCCATCACGATCATGAGACGATTCGCGCTTCTCTTCCCGCTCGAGTAATGCCTGAGATTAACATCAGAGCTCCTCAAGTTTCTTGATTACAGGGAGAATGACGTAAGTCGTTTGAGTAAATGAACTTATTCTTGTATATGTTTCGGAGAGATTTCACGCCGTAAAATGAGAAGACACAAATGTGTCTGCACAACTTGGTATGCAACTAACTATTTTCTCTGGAATGTTAAGAAAGTTATTTTTTAGCAAAAAAATCAAACCTTTAAAATACTCCAATTTGCATTGTCGCAATTATAAATTTGTTAATTTTTTTGTCAGATTATATATTTTAAAATTTAATTAATTAAACACTGTTAGATATCAAAGAAACAATGCTAATCCAATCCCTTCGACATTTTGTTATTTTTGACTTCCATATGTGTTAAAATACAAATCATTTATATACAATAGTTATTAATGTATTTTCTCAGTAAATAATAAATTCTATTATAAATTTGAATCAAATTTAACATATTTTCCCAAATTAAATTATTTAACTCCATTGCCTTTGGTTAAATTAACGATATTGAATAAGAGCATAAATGAAGATTTATAGAAATAATCAAATAATAATTTAATAACAATAAAGGATCGACGTTTCTTTCGTTTACGACAAACCATCTCTAGAATTGTGACCAAAACGAGAAGCTAAAAAAATAGTTTAATATGCATTTTTAGTAGCTGAGTTAATCATTCTGAACGAAGAGTCATTTATAGACACTGTTATCTTGAAAACACTTAATTAACATGTTTTGTAGGTAGCAGCCGCAGACATTTATGACGACATTCATCAGCGGTGGTTCCATATGTAGTGCCACTCTCGTGTGCTTATGACGACAAATCATTACAATGATTGCAGATTTTCTCCGTGAATAATAAACGAGTAATTTAAAGTTCTAAGGGGAGACAATAGATGCGCATCGTAAATTTACGATCACATGTTTGCTGTATGCAGCGCGGCTCTCACTCGTAAATAGCAAAAATAATTTGCACGAAAGTTACTAAAATAAGTAATTTTATATCACGCAAAATTGTGGGTAACCAAGGCATCACAAAATTAAGAGTTAATTAAGATGCGGTTGGTGCTGGATTGAGTCACCGCACGAAATTTAATTTTGTCGTAGGCGGACGGATACTCGCGAGAAGCAACACACAGAAAGAACTTTGCTGAAGTATTAAAAAATTTAGTCAGATACAAATCTGAAATTATTTTGTTAGATCATCAAAATAATTACGTTGGAATCTCAAATATAAGGAGTAATGCTGCAAAAAGTTTTGACATTTCAGTTTGAGCTACATAATTATTTTAATGATCCAATTATTTTCAGGTCTGTGTATATCTAACTAAAAATTTTTACATACTTCAGCAAAACCATCTTTTCCGCGTACATAAAATATAAATTGAACAGACTCTTTTAATTCACAAATGCATTAAAAAAATGTATCATTAATTACTCAGCTAAAAATTAAAAGCATGATAAAATTTAAAAGGAAATTTAAAACAGATATGGGAAACCGAAGAATTTTTTATGCAGGCAAAACGAACATTCCTATAGATAGAATCATTATCGACTGAATTGCTTTTTTTGCGAATTAAGTATATTTAACTCACAAATGATTCTTGACCACGGACAAAAGTTTTCTCTGAATTCCTCGCATATACCTTCGCACGATATTGCGATTTACGGTATTTACGCGTGCACGCGTAGGAAAAATTTCATAAATTATAGATCCGTTGCGTTAGGTAACGGGAAAACGCTGATATTACGTTTAAACGGTACAGGCTGAGAATGGTTAGGTAAGAGAGTGAGTGCCAATAAAGTGAAACATTTGTCGATAATGTTGAGGAGCTGTCGAATGACTTTATCGAGTCCATGTAATGTCGATGAATAAGAAGTTACATCCAATCTTCTCCCGTCGGAGGTTGCATAAACTGTATCTCCGTGAAGCGATTGTCGACAATTGCTCTTCCACGACGTTGCTATTCTGCGCGATCGACATGATATATTATTTCCGCGTTGTCGAGCGTCTTTTCGAAGACGTCAATGACAAGCGGCTGATAAAAAGACAGGTACAAATTTATAACGGGACGGAGAAACAAGAAAAGTAATGCTTCATGTCAAACGGGAAATGTATTTGAAATCATTTTCACGTCATCAGAAACACATTTCTAACGTGAGAAGTGTTTTCGTAAAATACATAGAATTTACGCGAAAAAAAAGACAATTTTACTGAAGTAAAAATTTAACTATAGATATAAATTTGAAAGTAATTACAATAAAAAAGTAATTATAATAAAAAAAATTGGGACACTCAAGCGCAATAATAATGTTGCAAAAAACGTTGACATTCTCACTGAAAGGAAAGATTAGCCACTGCAGCAAATTATTATAGATGTTAAAATATGGCGTAGCATTTTTAATTGGCTACTGCAATTAATTAAAAAGGCTGTGCCATATTTAGTCAGCTTTTCCTTTCAATGCAGCAACTTGTTTAAATATAATTATTTGTACAAATGTGCGTAAAGCAACGTGAAGCGGATAATTTTGTAATTCCAAAGGCGATTTTCTCGTATGTGCATTCTGGAGATAATAGCACGACGATCGCGCGAAGAAGCGAAGCGTCGCGTCGTACATACAAAGCTGGCGCTGCACAGGCGACTTGCGTGATAGCGAGACGTGCGGAAACACAGTGATGACTCCACTACAAAGTGCCTATTAAAAATGGTTCCGTGGGAGACGGAGGAAAGCGTGGTATCAGCCAGGCTATCTGTCCCGAAAGACCTTACGTGTCTACCTGCAACGTCCACGGCAGGGAAAGTGCCGCGCGTGCGATTTCGCGTCAGGGAGTTATACGGTGAGATCGGACAGGAGAGGACGAAGAGATGGTGAGGCGCATATACACGCGGTGTGAGAGTCTCCGGGGAATTTTGCAAGAGATGCTCGTCCACCGACATGCGAAAGGAGAGAAATATGCCGCGATGATCTACGCTCCAGTTACACCGGCACACACGATTCACTTCGATCGCGCGTACGAGCTGTTATGATATCCTTGATTACGTGCCTGCTTTTTGCATCATCTATAATATCTATATGCAAGTTAGAGAATAGATTGCAGCAATTTATAAAAATTAATTGCGCTCCCTATTGCAATAAAAACCAAACAGAAACGTATTATTACTGTAATAAGAAAAAAGTAGCTTCTATTTAATTTATAGCAATACGTATTCAGTAAACGTAACTTTTTGAAAACAATCAGACGTTATTTGGTAAAATAAATTAAACGAAAACTTGACAGTAGTATGATTAAATACTATTAAGCTACTACATAAAAAAAACCAAAGTAATGAAAATGACTAATGTTTTTTATAAAACTTTTCATTTAATAACTCCCATTTAGTATGAAAAAAGAGATAAGAGATTTGTTTCTCAAATAATGATAAGATATCTCTATAGAATCTACATCGTTATACTACTGCGATAACAACTCTGAAAGAAAATGGAACACCTGTAATCGTCTGTAATTGTTATTTGATGCGTCATCTCTACAATGAATATCCTTTATTATCGATACGTTTTAAAAAATTTACTTTGGTGCTGAAGACAGTCTTTCAGCTAAGAGCTGATTTAAGGAGAAGCAAAAGCTCACTGAAGGATGTAAAAAAAAAAACGAAATCTCGCAAGAACTTTGAGAATTCGAAACGGATCGTTTAGTATCACAAACTGTGGCTCGAGAAAAGATTCATATAAAGAGGAGAGGAGTGTTGAGGAAGGAAACGTGCGATGTACCAACAATGCTGGTATTTCCAATTATGGGAAGCAAATTTGTCGAGGCGCGTAAAAATATAATGGACCGGACGTACAATAGCTGCTGGTTCTCCCCCGTACGTACTTTCGCTGATTTCTGCACTTCTGGCAGGGGCACGCCAAGTATACGCGCGTATTGCTTAACAATAGATCACCCTAGTCGTCGGTGAGGAAAGAGTTGTGAAGACATCTCCAACGAATTGCTCCCATTCTCTCCTCTCGTTTGTCTTCTTCTTTTTTTCGTAACTGCAGAATTGCGTCGGATTGCACGTCGTTAGATTGCGCGAACCTTAATTGGATGCCGTACTTCGCTATAAATCAATCCGGCGATACGACGTGTTATTCTCGCTAGCAAAGAGTGATTTCATTTTGCGCGCATTTCCCGCGGCGAGAGAGAGAGAGAGAAATATGGGAGTCTCTCGCGGGAATAATACTAAAGAATAATAGCAGAAGCTCATTCAAATTATTGTATTTAAGACCTACAAACTTTCTCACTATATCCGAGATAATATTTCTTACAAAGTATAACAATCTCTCTAACTTGTGACTATAGAAAGATGTTTAAAGTATAGTGTGTCCGATAAATACACCTAATATTCGAATAAATTAATAAAAATAAATGTAAATGTCTATTCGAATACACTTTTTTTTATTCATCAAGAAACGAATAAACATTTTTTTATTCCATTTGATTAAATATTTTTTAAATATGATTACGAATATTTTTATTTCCGTATTCACTTCTACTCTGTATTATTTGTACACAGCTTGCAAGCCTACAAGAGAAAACAGGATCTATAAAAACAATGAAAGCGACAGAGTGATCCTCCATTAGTAACGGCAGATTAATGACATGGCACGGTATATAGTTACATAAATTGAAGATAAAAGTAATACGTTATCTCAAATAAAAACTATATGTTATCTCAACTCTTCATTTGGGACTTATGTAAAATTATATCATATTAATAACAATTGCTTATTAGATAACAATTGCTTATCAGAGCTTTCTTTATCAGTTTATATTTGGCTTGAATACTTTGAATAAATATGAATACTCGTTAAATAATCATAGTTTTTTGTAAATAACTTTAGAAACTCAAAATTTTGAATAAAAAATATATGATTACATTTTTTTAACATAAACATTTTGAACAAATACAATTTGTAGTCCAGTTACAAATTTTTGTATTCATCGGACACACTATAAAGTCGACGTGTCGGCCGAACTCATCGTTATCGTTTCCGTCTCTTCTCTGCTCAAAAGCATTTCTCGTTGTGAATAACAAAAGTCCCCAATGGAAGCTAATTTCAATACAATAATTAAGCAACCATTATAAATGTCGACTCCTAAAATCGTGCTAATTATTTCTACACCGTCAGTCTTGCGATTTTACCCATACAACTCCAGAAATGTTTCCAAGGAATATTCTAAAGACATTCAAAAGATCCTTCGATCTCTGAATGCCTAAACTCATACAGCACACTAATATTGAATCGATATATATTAGTAACGTAGAATATTGAATTAACATCGCGAAATGTAAATTCAATGTTGAAAAAAAACACTCACATTTTAACATTGCGAACATTCACACTTTAACATTGCGAAGTCTCAGCAACGTTCTTTTAACATTCTGTGGTATATAAGAATTCTAGCAATATTAGCAATCAATGAAAGAATCAGAAGAAAAATCAGCATAAAGATTCAACGTTGAAAAAACATTCACACTTCAACATTCAACATTATAACGTCTCAGCAACATTCTTTCAACGTTCTGTGTATAGGAAGGACGTTCCTAGGCTGTCTTTCGGATACCTTCGCGTTTCTTTCCTCGACGAAGAGTCGGCCACGAGGAATCTCTCAGGGGGAGTTTCGTAAGTATTTTTTCTGCCGAGTGAACGGAGCTAACTTTAAGAGCACGGTGAATCGGCGCACGTGTCCTGAATCGAGCAGACCGAATGGTTGAACCGCTAGCGATGAGCATTGCAATGTACGGCAAAATCGGGCAAGAGACGCTCTTGCACAACCATGATGGACGTTGCATCTTAGCAATGTGCGCTGTTGGGGATCGGGTAAAAACGATCCATGCCGTTATAACATTACCTCACGCTGCAGGATCACCGGCACTCCTTATGATTCCGTTGAATTCTTGAGTTGATCTGTAGTCAATCCTGTGGCAACACGTTGGTCAACATTGGTTTACTTAAAATTCCATATATCTATGGTAGCACAATCTGCAGCATAAGTAAAAGCGATCTTCAGACAAATTCAGTTTCGTGCAATTGATTATAATCATTATAATAATTATTATTATAATTAGAAAGATATATGTATTTAACTTACTAAATAGAATTAGAGGAGAACATAAACGGATGTAATACATATAATAATATATATATGGAGAATTAATAAAATTATATATTCTGAATAAATAAATCAATTAATTACATTTCGACGAAACACATTAATTTTGATTACAATACTCAAATCATAATGTAAACATTATTACTTATAATATTAATTATTAATCCTAATCTTGCTAAATAAGAATTTTACTTTTTTTATATGATAATAATATATGTCTTTTGTTAAAAAAAAACTTAAATAAAGTATTAAAAAAAGAATTCCTGATTTTTCTTGTAAAAAATCTAGGTGTTAACTGCACAAGGTGTTTTTAGTGTTAACAAAAAGAAAAGATGGAATGGTGAGGAAATGTAGTGAGGCGTTGAGACGATTGTGCGAACGTCGTTCGCGCAAGTCATGTTTAATAATGCTAACAAGTCTTTACGTGCTTCGCGCACGACGAAACACGGTATAACAGTCATTGATTGTCCCAGCACGATGCTTCTTCTTTCATCCTGAGAAAGCCGAGGAAGGGGAGAAAGTTGGAAAAAAATCATCGAGTGTGTCTTCCCCGAGCAATACTACGTTCGTAAATCCGCAAGGAGGAAAGCGCCGATCGGCGTATTGCCCGGCGATCTTCCGCGACGATTTATTTATGTGCTGGCCGTTGACCAGGCTATTTACGATTCAAATGATCCGGGAAGGAATAATTGAAATGGAAATGAGCGGAAGCTACGACCTACCACGCGTTTCCAGCTGTTCAAGCAACGCGGTGTATGTAAGAGTGCCTATCTCATAGAAGAATTATGCAAGGTGTATATATCCTTTAAAACCGGTTGGTTAATCCTTTCGTGCGGTTTACGCGACTCTGGTCATAAATAATGGCAAAATAGTAAAAAAAATTAGTCAACATTTTTGAGTAATCAGCGATTTTAAAAAAAATTAAAGATAAAAGTCTTTCTTCACAAACTTGTTGAAAGTTACAAATCACATAACACACAGAATATTTTAAATTACTTTTAAATCACATATGTGCTAATAACTAATAGCAACATTTTATTAAATTAATATATAATTTAATTTTATACCAATAATTAAGTAATTAATATTTTAATGCGCTTCTTTATTATATTTTAATTTTATCGTATTTGAAATTATCTTTTATATTAATTTAAACAGTTACAAAATTTCTAAATTTTTGAAATAAATTTAAGTATCTTTTAATTTAAAAAAAAATTTGAATTGAAAGATAACTTTTATTGTAGAAAATTATATAAAATTTGAGTATTTTATTTGTATAAATAATACTTATATACTTACATATTTAATTAATTTATTTAATTGCGTCATTATAAAAAAAATTTTCTTTTTAATTTTTCGAAAACTATCAAAAACTATCGATAATTATTGATAGTCAAAGGGCTTCACTATCATAAACTATCGCGAAAAATTCGATTTTTACTAGTAACGACACACGGCCATAGAACTTATAAGTTCTATGCACACGGCACGCGTTTGCCGGCGTACGGTGAAACTAAGCACAGCGGGTGAGTGCTTGGCCTACAGAGGGCGTAAGCGCGGACGATAAAAATCTACTTTATCGATCTCAATCAAATCGGTCAGTCCTTTGACTATACATATATTTGATACATTTAGACTTCTTGTTCGTTATTATTTTATTTCCCTTTGGATTTAGGAAAAAGCTGATTCATCACAATTAAATATCCTAGACCGGTCAATATTCAAAAGATTTTTTGACTGAAGATAATCTTTGACTTCTTGAAACTAGAGAGCCTATTATAGGCTCTACTTGAAAGTCTTGAAACCAGCCACGTAGTTTTTTGTCAGTAACTTGAGCTCGCCTTTCATATAGATGTTGAGGTATTCGAAGCGAAAGCTCAGGATGATGCTTTAAGAAGGCTTCGAACCAGTGCCTACCTGGTCTACCCTTAGTGAACGGATTATTCCATATAGTCACATGGAATAATCGAAATTGCGTCAAACAATTTCATCCTACATTGTATTGTCAATGGTATGAGAATATTCTGGAAAGATTCATCGGCTATACAAAGGAAAAAATAATTTTTTCAAAATTTGACAATTGTTTGAGATGTTTTATTTTGGTTGTTCTTTTTTTTATAAATTATATTCACATATTCATAAATATAATTACAAACTCTTCTATCTGATTGCAATATGTGTTATTATATTTTATAAATAAAATATTTTTTGTATATTTTGCAGTTATAAGATGGCTAAGTCAGAAATTAACATATTACAAGAGCTGTTGGTTAAACAAGGATCTGTACCTATTTATAGTTTTTCCGAAAAAAAAAATGATTACCAAACACAATTTATATGTGACGTGATTTGTAAACAAATGATAACATCTGGTACAGGAAGAAGCAAAAAAGAAGCCAAGCATAATGCTGCAAGAAACATGTTATCACTATTGGCTACAAATAATCTAATTTTGTTACCAGTAGTTACTTCATCAATTACAAATGTACCACAAAACTCTGCAAAAGTTGACTACACTCCAAATAAAGATGAATCACAAAACTCTGCAAAAGTCAACTACACTCCAAATGAACATGTATTACAAAATCCTACAACAGTTTACAATACTCCAAATGATCAAATACTACAAAATTCTGCAAAAGTCTTCAACACTCCAAATGAGCACATACCACAAAACTCTGTAAAAGTTTCTGACACTCCAGATGAATACTTCAATAATTACATTGGAATGTTGCAAGTAAGTTTCATGAATCATTTGTCAAATATTACAGTTCAAAAACTAATCATCAGAATAATACAATTTTTATTCTATATACAGGAGTTTTGGAAAAAACAAATACCAACACAAAACCTTCAGTATAAACTTCTCTATGAGGATGGATTATCTCACTCGAAAATATTTGTTATAGAAGTCAGCTTGGGATCACTATGTGAAACAGGCTCGGCAAATTCTAAGAAGACTGCTAAACAAAACGCTGCAAAAAAAATGCTACAACGTCTGAATCCAGATATAATATTTAATAAAAATACACATAAGATCGATATGCATGATAAGAAGATACTTAAGAATAAATTAGAAGAATTAAATACCAAAATAATAGAATGTGCTAACATTAAAGAAGATACTTCATCAGAGGACAAGAAACGATCAGAAGAAGCAACGTTGCTCTATCTGAAATCTACTCAAGGAATCAATAGTGGCACCAACGTTCATTTTCGAGCTGCGGGAACTACGTACCACGAGAGCGAGCGAGACAGCGAGAAAAAAATTAACGACGACGTAAAAATATTCCCTGAATAATAAAGTAAAAATAAAAAAAATATATATAATATGTATATATGTATAAAATAAAAAATTTATAGCAATAATAAAATAAAAATAAAGTAAAACAAAAAGAATAAATTATAGGAAAGTTATATGCTGTATAATTGTACATATGTTTTTTCTTCTTCTTTTCCTTTCTTGACGCATTTTGTCGTTTTATAAAAGTATTAATATGCCTGAGGCGTATATATGTTCGCGTTCGAACAAAGCACGATAGTACTTCATCCGGAAGTGTCGTTCTTTGGCCGATTATATTCGTTAATTTGTCGAAAATGAATGGTTCCGCATTAAACGTCGCCCCATGAAATTTTATAAATGCTTCATTCATGATGCTAGATGCTGCTTGCAAATCTTCAGAAGGATATAGACAGGATGCAGGATAGTCAGTCATTGGTGGATTGAAGAGAATTTGCTGGAATTCCAAGATATTCATATTTATGTCTAAAATCTATGAGCAACTTATCCAGTAACATATAATAATGCTTCCTCTTCAATTTTATTTACGGCCAATGCATTCAATGCGTTCTCAAATTTTTCCAGAAGTGTTAGCTCTTCGTTTGTGGGAATAAAATCAAAGACCTCATTTTCTAAAGAATTTTAACATGAAACGAATAACAATAAAAATAAAATACTGTCACACAGTCTTTCGATATTTTTTTTTTTTCATTTCTTTGCTCATTAATATAATTATCCTCTAATAATCACCTTCAACAAGTGTTATCCTTATTGTTAAAATTTATATAATAATTTTACTATTATAGTATAATAATAATATCTAGATAATATAATACAATAATATACAATTTCTTTTTATTGTAGTTACACTCTTACAATTAATTAATACTCTACGTTATATATTGTACCGAAGAAGGAAGTGTATAATTAATATGTACATGAATTCAAAAGTAACAGTTTTATATTGACAAATGTACCTCCTTCGTCAAATTCCTTACATTCCTCATCGTTGTCAATCGTGTAAGTGTCTATTTCAATTTCTATCAACATTTTTGCTTCTTTTGCGAGCTCTAGATCTTCGAAATCAAATATGTCATTTTCGCAGGCAGCTTTGTGCACATCTTCTACATCCAGTAAAGAAGTCGAAGTTGTTTCACTTTCGGTATTAAGTATATTTTTTTTTTATAATTTATATATATTTTTTTAAATAATGATATGTTTATGCAACACGTACATTAATTTTTACAATTATTATTATATTATAAAATTTATTAAAAAATTTTACAACAGTTGCAAAGCTGTTTTTTCTGCTAAATGCAGCCAATGTATAAGTATCAATGTAACATTGATAGAAATAATGAAAAATTGTAAATTTATTCCAATAATAGGTCAATAAAAATACGTGCAATTCTATTATTTACTTATATATTAAAGACTTTATTCATCATCTTGTACAACTGTTGTTTTTTCAGACACATAAAGTCCATCCAAAAACTTTCTGATGTCCTTATTTTTTACTGTAGTGGACTGTTGAATAAGTGCAGCTAAAAATAGAATACATTTATCATGATTATTAAGTTAATAATAAATAAGTTAATTTATAAATAAAGTTTATTTATTTGTTCAAAAACTAATAATACATATATAAAGTATTTACCCGAACGAGATACATCTTCTAAGGAATTTCCTTCTATAATCAATTCATCTTTTTGTTTGCCAGAATTTGCAACAGTGACACCTGCTGCCATTTTGACACGACGTATATACTTCTCGCCCAAGAAATTACGAATTTCTATGACTGTGTTATTCTCTGTAGTCACACAGTTAATAGGGAAATGAGCATACACAGCTCGCATTTTATATTGATATCCCTTTGTTACACCTTTAAGCATATTTTCAATATGCGAGCATACAGTACGAACAGCAGCTAATTCTTTCTTCGTACCGAACCATTTCTCTACCTTCAGTAATCTCGGGCTGACCATCTAATATAAAACAAAAAGTACAAACTCATAAGGTATAAATACTAAAGTTCTGTATTTTAATATATGTAAATTGAAAAAATATTTCAGATGTGGATTTATCATTTATAAGAAATGAAGGGGAATCCAAATTCTCATCACAATAAATATAATTACTTTAGTATTGGTCAAAATTATAAAAGAATTATTAAAGAATAATTTTTTAATAATATCATAATTTTATAGTAACAACATTCTACTTACACGAATATCAAGTGCAAGATGTTTAAAAGATCGTTTCAATACACCTCTTGGTCCTTTTACCGTTACCAGACGGGATTTAACTGTAACAGTCAATCCCTCTGGGATTTTTACCGTTTGATTAGTTACTATTTGCTTCATTCTGTAACATAAATAATTATATTAAAATTTATATATTTACATTTGTAATATTTGATCTACGCCTAAATTATCATAACAAATAAAGTGCTAATATAAATAAAAATTATTTCAACGTCATTAAATAAAGTATCTTAAAACTGTAATAAAAAAATATTACTGTGTAATGTATTTACTGTAATATACAAATTGATTATCAAATATAGTGGTTATAGGTTAGAATAGATTACTGTTCACAACACATGATCACATAAATTAAAATGGATGAACAATTGCGTTATCCACAAATTTACACATTAATTTTTCATATTGTAATTTCAACTATATATTTTAATTAGAATAAAAATACATGTAATTTTTTTTAGTTGTAAAGAATTATAGACACACATATTACACCTTGTCGTGCTAGACGCCTCAAATTTTTCAAAAAAATAATATTTTATTATGAAAGTATAAAAAATAACAATGCGAAAAATATATAATATCAAATTATTGCATTCCACGCATTGACGGAATTCTATAAAATACTTTCCATCACAAAAACTTTATTACCTTACGACAGTATGTCAAACAAAGAAAGACCGGAATACTAAGATGGCATCTCTACCGAACGTAGCTCTTGTATAAGGGCAGGTTCACATCTAAATGGAAAAGCAGTAGCCAATCAGAACTCGCGTTGGTATTAAGTAGTATAGAACAGAAAGTCGACTACCAACGCGAGTTCTGGCTACTGCTCTTTCGCTTTCCGCTTTTCCGCCAAGGTGTGAACCCGTCCTTATATTTGATCTGAATTTTTATTTCATTTTATTTGCGATTTAACTCTTATTTTATAGTAATATGAAAATTGTAAACAATGTATTTATAGCGTATATATTATAACGAATATTTGTAGTAATATAAATAATAATTAATATAAAATTATATAATTATATTTCTGAGGTATGTTACAATTCTTTTAATTATTTAATTATTACATCAGTATTAAATTTTTATTTAGTTTTGTGTAAATGTATATATATTATAAATGTATTTATAAATAGATAATTTTATTTATTTATATATTTTAACTGATTATAACTGCACTGAAGATGATCTAATATAGGTTGAAATGTTTGTATGTTAAATTTATATTATTAAATTTTAATATTAACAATATACATCTTGCATTGATTCATAGCCTTTATTTTTCAAATTTGTTTTTAAAATATATCACTTAAATTGTGCTTTTATGCTTGGATTTATAAAATATTGTGTTATAATAATTAATCTAAATGTAAAAAAATACATATTATTATACACATTGCTTATATATTTTATATAGAAAATCCCATTCAATCAAATTCTTACAAACTGACATATGACTCAAATTACATACAGGATAAAAATTAACTGTAAAAGTAAAAATAATATAATTTAATAGATTCTCTTGTGTACACGCATCATTTTCAACACTTCGACTTGCACATAACATATTCCATTCGTACGTTCTTGTCCTATACCTCTTCTTTATTAACCAAATATGAGCTTCATAACTAATGTTAAGATATTAAAGAATATCAGAGGAACTGAAAATTAATACATTATGTAGAAATCTTGTACAAGAATCACGATGCTATATAGTCGTAAGTCTTTCATTATAATTACCCCTCATCACAGTTCGTATGGACCTTATAAGATTTAATATTTGCGACTTAGGTGTCGGAGGTTCTCCAAATCCTTGCACATTTTGCCATGACGCCCAACCAACTGTAAAATGATTTATAAAGTGCAACAGCGTAATATTTTATAAAACGTAATAATTAATATATGTAATAATTAATATGTAATAATAAATGTAATAATTAATAATAATTGTAATAATTTTTTTACTAATCCCTGACTGATAATAAACATAATAAATTTAGAAAAAGGTAACGTTATTCTTCAAAATTGAAACTTATAACCTATAATATTAAATCTCTTTTTACGTTAAAAATATATACAGTTATAAATTAATTTGAATAAATAAATATAATAAATGTATGCTTAATTATCACCTTTAGCGAGAAATCTTTCCTCGTTCAAAACACAGATCGCATTCAGACATAACAGAGTTGCTTCGAAGAGTGTCCATAACGTGAACGCCATATTGTTAGAATTGTCATCGGTAATTCGGTAATACGAATAATACCAGCATTACCGACTATTACAGACTTATTTCTTTTATGAAAGAAGTTCGCGCTTACAGTACTTTTTTCATTTTACATTGTCTCTTTTTTTCAAATTTTAAAAAAATAATTTTTATTTAGATTAATTAATAAATTGTACTATTTTTAAGTTGCTGATAAAAAAATATGTATCACCTTATCATATCTCTCATCAAATTATTTATCAATATTTTTAACGCAATTTATTTAAATTTTAAATAATATTTAAATTGTAAATAAAGCTGTATTTAACAGCAGTTTTATCCCCTGGATCTTAGTGGTTTTTTGCCTTGTCCTATTTTCTATACATATATATATTATTGAGAATCTCCTTTTCTCTTTCTCTCTCTCCCCCCCCCCCCCCTCTTCTCCCATGTAATTATTTCTGTATATACAATAAAATTAACATACTAAATAAGGTCAGATAAAAAAGTATGTAAATGAAAATGTAGATTAAAATATTTTTATTTTTCTTACATTTATCATATATAAGATTCAGGGAATTCAAATGTGACGTCCCGTCCAGTCAGCTGCTTATAAACAGAAGCAAAGGTGTCGACCTGTTTAAAGATACATCAAGATTAGTAGTAATTTGTGATCAAACAATAAAACTGATATTTTCTGTAAATAAAAGAGAATAAATAATCACCTTATGTTCAATATTTGTCTGTTCGTTTTTATCGAGATGAACTTTAATAAGCTGCGATCCATCGAGTTTGACTCTGATACGCTTGCCAACGATTTCTACGGGATATACTAAATCCTCCAATATTGCATCATAAACCGAAGTCAGTGTACGGCTGAAAAAAAATTTATCATAGATATATCGTTCAGTTAAAGTACGTTCTTTTTAGCTGAACTTCTTGTACAATTTATCCTCTTCTCTTCTTTCTTCAATATAAAAAGAAAAAGAGAAATAATAGGTTGTACAATAGTTCAACTAAAAAAACAGGCTTTTAATTTCATCAAAACATAATTTAAATTTTTATCTTGTTTTTTTGCTTTTGTACCTTCTAGGACGTTTCTGCTTGTTCTTGGTTCGTGTTTTCCTTGTTGGCTTGGGCAAGATTTTACGCTCTCCAATGAACATCACATGCTTTCCAGAAAATTTTTTCTCTAGCTCACGTACTAGCCGTGTCTGAATTTTCTGGAATGCTTTTAGCTTCGGCATAGGTACGTAAATAATAATGGACTGTAAGAAAACAGTGCTCTGTGTCAAAATAATTCCTTGGAAGAATATTATACACAAAATATATTAAAATATAAATACTTTTATACTTTAATATCTACTTTAATAATAGTAATTACTAAAGTTAATTTAATTAACATATGTATACATAAAGTTGTAAGTACATAAAGTCATTAAAAAATAATTTTAACATAAGAAAGATGTGGCTCTATAAGAGAGCAGTCATTCGTAGTTCTGAATTCTAGATTCTCAATTCTGATTAGAACATTTATCATGTTTATTGTTTTTTAGTTGATTGGTGAATTTTGAAGATTATAAATAAAAGAATATGAAAAACAGTAACCCATTTAAGAACTCATATTTCAATTAAAAATAAATAACACAAACTTAACTTTAAAAATTTTAAATTAACAAAAGAAATATTAAAACATACTGAAGAACGGATTCAGATAACAAGCAAGTTGCAAGAAACAAAACTTTACCTTCTTATTATTTGTTTCAATTTCCTTCGCTTTCGTGATGTAGAGTTCTCTCAGCTGCGACTTTAAATCGCTGTTCATCTCCAATTCAAGGAGGGCTTGGGAAACGCTAACCTCAAACTGGTCGGGTTCGCCCCCATTACTCTTAATTATCTTCGCGTTCGTCGTCAACATCTGAAAAGATTTTGAGATCGAGAAATTAATTTGTACCCATAAAAAAAACACAAAACTTTACGGAATCTCGTCATAATCGCACGACATGTGTGATCCGAGGAAGAAAATTTGTCATACATTTCAAAGTTTAAAAAAGTACTTATCAAAAATATTTTACACATCCTTAAAAGTTCCAAAGCTTTATTAAATTAAAGTGAAATTCTCGAAAATACGTACTTTGCCAAGACTCATCCTTTCCGAGGAATTTCTGTACCGTTGGCTTCTACCAGGATGCAGCTAGAACAACGTGCTCGCAGAGGACAAAAAAAGCTTAAGCATGTATCGGCGCACTTGGTGAGAATTAAAGGTTAAGTGCGACCAATCGGGACGAAGCAAATTGAAATCCGCGTCATTTGATTGGTCGAAGTCTGATCTTTCATTTATGAGTCCCAATCCAAGCTTAAGCCAACCTAACCTTTTATTTCAGAAGAGATTAACGAGAGACCAGACGGCTGCCGTTCAGAATCATCATCTGAGTGCACCCAGGTGTTATGTTATCTTTGTTATCATACGTGAACAACAAGGATAAAACAACATCTAGAAATTCTCAACTGGAAATTATCGATCGATTATTCCGCGCTTTCAGGAACATCGTTGTTTCGTTCAGTTTTGTTATCGTTTCCTTTTTTCTTGCGAAGAAACTGAGATCATGCAGTCGAGAAAATGTGAAAGCAAATCTTTTGTCGTCTGATTTGCTTTGATTTGTATAACAAAATCAGTTACAACCAACTTGCAAATATTTAATTCAACAAGAAAGATTGTATTTTTTTTCCATTAGTTGTGACTAATTTTACAACTTTTCCAGCATTGTTTTGTATATTACGTTTAAGTTTAAAGAATATTGTTACATAATATTAATAAATAGTATAATAACGTAACATTATTTTATATTATTTATATATTTTATATTATTATATAGTAATATATTATTATATAGTAATATATTTTATAAGTATTAGGTAAAATACAATATTATGCATGCGAAACTTATTATATTTTGAGGTTATGTCGACGCTGCATTTTCGTGCCTGACTCGTCAATTTTTTTAGTGACTGGAATAAATCGATGTGTTTTGGCCGATGAGCAAGACAAAGATATATTGATTCAAAATCGATAGTTACATTTGTGTCTCGCAATACCAGATTACGATTACTCCTTTTTGTAACGGAATTTGTAAATTCTAGTGTCAATAGTTTACTAAAATTAACTAGGACAAATTTAATAGATTGTTCTGACAGATCTATTGTGAGCCTACTGTAATAATATAAGAATAATACAGACAATTTTGTTTTGCAACATTTGTGCGTCTTGTTTGACATCTTTCATTGTGCGAAGAAATTAGGAAATAATTTTGTCAGTTATTATTGCAGGTAAAGATGAGCAAAAATTTCAAGAATATTTAATTTGATCTGTGAAAAAATCTTTCATAGTTTTTTTTTGTAAAAAGGTTTGTGGTTAATTTTCGAATTATGTACACTCGTGTACTTTAAGAGATATTTTTCTTTGCCTCAAAAATGGCACTTATCATCTGTAATTTTGTCTATAGGCAATACACTAGATTTGTATCAATGTCCACTATGTCTGCATCATCATCTATGGATGAACGTATGTTGAAAGGAATACGGAAGGTGATACCAAGTTTAATCAATACCAAGTATAAGGGTCAAGATGGTAGAATTGGAATCTTTGGTGGTAGCACCGAATATACAGGAGCACCGTATTTTGCAGCCATGAGTGCACTAAGAACTGGTGCCGATCTTGTTCATGTATTTTGCGCAAAGGATGCTAGTATTCCTATCAAGTCATTCAGTCCAGAGCCGATAGTTCATCCAGTTCTGGATCATCAGGATGCAATAAAACAAATAAAACCCTGGCTTGATCGTCTGCACGTTATTCTGATTGGACCTGGGCTTGGCAGGGATGAAAAGATATTCAAAACGATCGTTGAATTGATAACGATCTGCCGAGAGGCGAGGAAGCCACTGATTATCGATGCAGACGGTTTGTTCTTGATTTGTCAGAAGCCGGAAATTATAAAGGATTATCCAGGAGTTATCCTAACACCTAACGCAATGGAGTTCAGTCGTTTGATCAAAGCAGTACTAGACAGAACTGTCCCACCTACTCCTGTAGTTAAAGCTTCCGACGTGAAGCACGTGGTGGAAACTCTTGGGAAAAATGTTATAATTCTACATAAGGGAGCAAAGGATGTGATTGTAGATGGTCACAAAGGCACTGAGACTGTATCGTGTGCATTGGCTGGTTCTGGAAGAAGATGTGGTGGACAGGGAGACCTCTTATCTGGCTCCTTAGCAGTATTTTGGTGGTGGGCTATCTCTGCAGGAACTAGCGAATGTGCCTTGTCACCTTCAATAATAGCGTGTTACGCCGCATCAAGATTAATCCGAGAATCCAACGCATCAGCTTTTAAAATAAAACAGAGGGCAATGTTAACTTCGGACATGCTGGAACAGATACAGCCGATTTTTAGCAAAATCTTTGAAACTTATTGCGACAAGTAACGCACAAATGCATCATAATCTTCTCTTTTACTTACATTGTTCCTAAATAGCACTGTTTTTTTTATTTCATAAAATGTTATTACATACTAATATTAAGTAAAAGAAATTCGGATAAGCATCAATAATTATATTACTATTTCATATTATATTATGGATTTTAGAACTTCCTCGTTTATTGGAAGAGGTCGAACTCGAAGCATTGATTCCTGAAGCATATACATTTATATACAATATACAAAATTTTTTGGTGGATATATTACATAAATTGCAATATATATACACATTTAGAAAGTTGACTTCAGGAAAATAAACGCTAATATATAAATATACTTGTTTTATCATTTACAATATTTATATAAATTTTGTTAATAATTTGAAAGTTTGTATAAATAAATATTTTTATAAAATTATATAGTTTATATATTTATTGATATTTGTCTCTTAATGTAGACATAGCTCCTTAACTAAAAGCGTTAGTTTTATTGTTTATTGTAAGATTTGTATGGTAAGAATAATTAGAGCTTGCTCTTACCAGTCTTTATATATACATATTGTTTATTATATTTCGTTTAAAACAAAAATCAACATCCCTATATATAAACTAAATATAATATACATTAACTTATATGAATTACTGTAATGTGTTTTTAAAGTACTATAATGCTCTCAGACATCCTTGATTCTGTTAGGAATAATCTTAAGATATTTTACAGGCACATAAAGTTGCATTACAGATAACAAGCATACTTTGTTACTTATTTCATCACATACAAGCACTCCACACAATCACACGCATACATATCTAGCTTTGTTACTTATTGTTGTGTTAAGTTACCTAAATTATCATACGCGCGTATATATAATATATATAGTTTATCATTATACACTGATGAGTATTGAAACGTACAAATGGACTGCGGCAACCTTAGACATGCCGTTAAAACTTTATTCGTAAATCAGAGTTCGCACCTACGATTATCACAATGAAATAGATTAAATTCGCAAGATATTTCTTTACTTTCCTGCATTTCTATGACCATGCTATTCCTTACGTGGTTTTAAAATAATTAAGATTGGACAGAAATGTCACTAAGAATTTTATCCGATCTGCGATTCTGCCATTGTTTACATTAGTAAACTTAGCAGTAAACTTTTATAGCACTACATGTACCATCATACTGTACACTGTCATGTAAATATGTGTGTATATGTTATTTTGTGTTTTTTCTTTTACTTGCTTTGCCAAACTATAATACCAATCAAAATTGCCAATATGACTACTGCAATCACTATAAGAAAACACTTCTTCTTGCGTAGCTTACTCTGATACATACTCGCTTGTCTTACTTGAGAAGCGCCTTCGCTAACAGATACCTCGGTCCTTTCAACTGATGCTTCTATAGAATCAATCACCTCTCCTTGATCATATACCAAAGCTCCAAGATCTTTGAATATTTGGTTAATATCGCTAATGTTACTCTGCAAAACGATAAATATATGTATAAAATATATTCATATATATATATATAAATCTTTCACAATCTTGAAAGCACTTACCTCCAATTGCCTTATACTAGCTTCCTGTTCCTCTAACATTCGTAAATTCATCTGTTCTTGCATCTGTTCCTGCTGCAGTTTTGCATGATCACTTCCATATGTTCTACTGTCTTGCAACTCAATAAGAGTATCCTGTTTCTTTTCTCCAAACGGCGCAATACCTGCACTAGCTTTAGCCTTCCTAACCATTTCTTTTTCTTTAGAAGCAGCTAGCCTTTGTACAGCCTACATTTATGAACAATAATTATTAATGTATTATATTAAAATACATTTATATCGATATTTACCTGAAAAGAATTCAATGCGGTGGTAAATTCATCTTGAAGGCGTTCCCTTTGCATTTTCCGTTGTCTTTGTTCTCCAGGGCTCGTAGAGCCAGAGTTATTCGCTAATATAGCCAAGTCTCGAAGATGAACACTAGTATCCTTCGCTAGCTGTTGCGTGTAGTGCTGTATCTGATGCCTGTAAAACAACAATATGTGCATTAAATTATGCGAATATATAATATTAATATTTAATTAGGTTTCTCCTTATTATCATTATATTTTAGTGATCAAATCAATATCAGTAAGAGCTAGTTTTACCATCTCTGATCAGCTTGATCAGTCAATTACATTTCAACTGCAATAGTCAATTTTGCTTAATGACAAATATTATGAAATCTAGTGCCTCAATATAAAATTAAGAATTAAAAAAACATAAATAGTAAGTTAAACCAAGATTAATGTTAATCTTAGCAATGATGAAACCTTAGGTTCCAATTATGTCAATTCTATAATTGGAATAATGGACAGATCAAGTTGATCTGAGATGGTGAAACTGTCTTAAATTAGCAACTATAAAAGAAAACTGAATTAAATCTTGTCATGCTTGTTTCTACTAATGCAGATTAATTTTAACCTTGATTCAACTTACTCGTTTCTTTTTAATTCTTAGAACTGGAAAAAAATAAAGAGTAAGTTGAATTGAGATCCAGAATTAATCCATTAATCAATATACCTATTTTTTATTCCTGTAATCTCTGAACTGGAACATTATACTGTGCAATAAGTTAAAATTGAAGACAAATGTATGTTTATTTTATTTCAACTTATTATATCGTGTATACTAGTTCAGAGAGTGTAAAAATAAAAGAACAGACTATTAAAATTTTAAACCACGAGATAAACAAATAAAATATTTGAATACTTAAAACCCTTTTAACATTTAATAAATAGCAAATACAATATAAAATTAATTTTAAATTGATAAAGAACTCTGTGAATCAAAACGTCTTTGTATATTTGCTATTTATTAAATGGTTAAAAAGGATCTGAATATTTAAATATCTTATTTACTTGTCTTGTGATCGTTTTAAATTTGGATGTTTTCCTTTGCGAACAAATGAATGTGTTATATTATTGTTTATAAAAATAGATTTTTTGATGGAAAAGGACATTTGTGTACTTCTTATAACTTACAGCTGATTTCTGAGTTCTTGAGAATCGGTGGAACTGCCCAGCTGATTGACCATTTTCTGCATGGAAGACACTGCGAGCAAATCATCAAAATAAATATCTCACATTTTTCAATCAGTCTTGTTAATTGCAGAACCTACCATTTTGTGATATTTTCAGTATCGAAGTGCCAATCGATTGGGACAACCTGCCGAAGTCCTGTTCTCGCGCGGGTCCACCGTTGTGGTATGATGAGAATCCGGCATCCATCTTTAAGCTATCAGCGATGTTATTAGCTAAATTATACAAATTGAATTATACGTAGACATCTTTGCAATGCATAAATTACATTTAATACATCCAAATTAAAGTTTTCAAGGCTTCTTTGTGGATGACGTTAAATAGAACTAACCAATTATTGTAAATGTAACAGTCACTCTTCGGCGTTTCTCTGCGACGAAGCTGATGACGCGGTGAGGACGAGGAGGCTGCTCACGATCGAAAAAAATGCGTCACATTGACAATCGCTTAAGCATGAGATCCCACTCCTGTCACGCGTATATACGCACTAGTATGCACTTGTCAACACAGAATGACAAGTGGGTCGATCGCGCGATGAGTCACAAAGCTAGCGTAGCAACAGATTCCGTTTTTTGGTATCTCATGACATGTACGGCAGCGCGAATAGGAGAAATTCTTCGATGAGGCACACAACAAAAGTTTCTTCTCGCATTAATCGATAACGGGCGGACGAGACGAATCTCTCGAACGAAAATCGCGAACGTAACGTATCGTATCCAGTCGTATCACCAGTCGATCGTGAGATCCGCTCCGAGCGACACAAGACACGAAGCCCCGAACTCCCAGAAGCCGAAGCCCAACGGAGCCCGACGGAAACGAGATTGCCTAGGGCACGTGACACCCCGCATCCAATACGAGAATTCCTCTTCTACCGTTTATGTCCCGTTCGGACGGACTTGCACAATGAGAAGAAAGAGAATACAAAATTCATTCAACATGCAAAGGATTTATTTTACTCCTATTACTAGAACTTCTCGCTTTCGTCAAATGTCGAACTTTTAAGTTCCCAAAGTGTACTAATTGTGCACAGCTACAGAAAACCAAAAATACCTTTTTATGTTTTAAAGGTAGCTTTTTACGCTCATTATCGAAACAGGTCATATAATTAAAATTGACGTTTGACATTCGTTAATTTTGATCACGTGACCTACTTTATACTAAAAATCATCATAAAGTCTGTTTTTTTATTCCTCTGAATTGTTGCACATGGTGCATAAGTTGAAGTGAAACAAATAACGTATATCTTTTGGTTCAACCAGAGAACTGCATGTATTGTATGTATGTATGTACTACCAGAGAGAAACCTGAGAGCGGCCATGCCCGGGATTTAACTGTTACTTTATTTTGAAGCGCCTTTATGTCCACAAAACGTGGACATTGAACTATGTAGCCAATGTCCACGATCGTGTCGGCAATGTCCACAATTTTTTGGTTCGATTCTTCCCTATGTCCATGATTATCAATCCGTTAGCCAAACAAAGCAGACAACCAATCGATGTGTCTGAGACCAAGTCAGAATCAGTTCTTTTTGGTTGAACTTTTGCACCAGTTCATCATTTTACCTTTTCTCTTCTTCTAGAGAAAAAAGGAAAAAATACGAACTGGTGCACACAAAACACGAATTTTATAATAATTGCAAAGCGACATTCTCTGTTGAACACTGCAACCACTAGGCCGATATTTTATCGGTCGACAAGGCTTTTCAATGGCTGCAGAACAGATCGAGTGATTCTCAGATCATCTATTCTTGAAAAGAAATGTATATATATACATATATATATGAGAAATCAGAAAAATACTAATACAAAATTTATTAATGAGTTATCAAAAATAAAATTTTGAATTTTGTATATCTTCTAATAGAGAAATGAAAATTGCTGACTTTTAAGAAACTTGAAATCAAATATTCAAACAAATTAATTTCACGAATTTTGTTTTATAATACGTATCTGTATAAAAGTGGAATTAGGAAGTTGTTTTCTTTATGTTAACTTAGCTCGTTCTTACTAAATATATAGTTATTAGTAATTAGTACAAACGAGTTAGAGAGGCCCTCCACACCACCCCCGCCGATTTTATCGGCGGTCCTCTTTTCTTTATAAACTAATTACTAGAACAATACAGGCGCGCGCTACGTACGCGCTATCAGCATTTGACATTAT